AGGCAGGGAAGAAGAAGTGGTCCTGATCTACAAAGAGGGAGGCTCACCCAGTTTTTTCCTTCGCAGTTTAACCACTCTTTAGTGCTCCTCACTAGTTGAAAAGTACAAATGACCTTTTTAACTTACTTCCAAATTTGGGGCTTCTCAAAATGGTATGTTTAGCAAACTTGCTTCCACATAATTTTTTGCTTGGGTTTTTTTCCTATTTCTTCATCTGCTTTCGTGGAAACCCCCTCCGATAATCGATTAAGAGATGGAACGGGATGTGTAGAAAGTTTTTTCGTTAATTTCCCGATAGCAGACAGGAAACAGCGGCAGAAAAGCCACCGACAACAGTATGGGAGCAAAAGCAGAAGGAACGGTTCAATTGCCAAATCTCAAGAAATAGTTCACTTCTATTACCGGCTCTATTTTTAATTGGAGCCAATTTTACCAGAGAACAAAATCCGTACACATCATTTCACTGTGAGGCATGAAACAATCTACCAAAACAAAAATCTAGAAATGAAATAAAGCAGAAATTTAGCTTTTGAAAATTTATTTTCGTCTGTAGACTGTAGAGTGTGCAGTTTGGGAGTACGCAATTATGCGTCGTTGAGCGTTTCGAATCATGCCGGCGTTTCGCGCGTCTCATTTTCATTGTTAGATGTGGTTTAAATCATTTATTTGTCCTTACATAGTTCCTAATCATTCTCAAGTTTTAGGCAAGATGATGTCCGGTAGGAAAGTTCAGAAGGTGATGGTGCAGCCCATTAACCTTATTTTCCGGTGAGCAAAATGTTATTCTGTTTTCAAACATGTTTCATTGGAGTCGTTGCGTTGCATATTTTGCTTATTCCTGTTGTAGATATCTTCAAAATCGAACAAGGATCCAAATTTGGCTGTACGAAGATGTCTCTCATCGCATTGAAGGTTACATTGTCGGTAAGCTTTTTCTGAATGCTGCCTTTTTTCCTTCCCACTGTCGAGCAGCATTACTTAATGGAGTGGTTTAATCGCCGCTAAGGCTACTTTTTTCGACTCTGAGATTCGAAGAGCCACGGAATCAGGACTCAGAGAATCTGGGAAAAGAAAGAGGGTGCTGATGTAGTTAGATGCGATAATTGGCGCAACGCACCCAAGGCCCTCAGGACTATTAGGGCTGTTTTCACATCACAAATGGTCACTAAAAAAGCGCTCTATTAAAGCGGATGAGTAGAGGAGTTTCCTAGTCTCAGTCATTGCACCAAGTACGAGCCAGAATTCTCATCCCTTGAGCTCGCCATCATTCGTTGCGCCATCTGCAACTGAAACACTGCGCACTAATCACTATTTCACTCCAGGATCTTGGAACTTTTTTGCGATATTTCCTTTTGAAGTATTCTGTAATCATCAATGCAATTTCTATTTCTGCCCATAACATTTTTCATCGAATTCAATTGTAGTCGGGGGCTCCTTATGAAGAATTATATACCCATTTTAGCGCTGGCGTTATGCTCACGCAGATAATGTAATATCAATATTCGTTATCAGAAACACTCTGAATACCTCAGGGTCAAGTTCGCAAGTTACCCTGCGTAACAATAACTAGCGATTATAATTCGACCACTGGATGCCCTCAAATACTGTCCCACTAGTTGTGCCACATACCGTCCGCCCCAAAAATGGATCTTTATGCCATTGATCAAAACCACGAAAACACAATAATCAAACTTTCACAGAACTGCATTTTCCCCCACTTCGAATCTTATTAACTACTAAACACATCAAGTTGTTAAAGAACACGAATGCATGGGAATGGAAGCCAATGTTAAAAATCCCGTGCTAACTTCCAACTAACTTATCGCGCAAATGCGCACTAACGCAGAATAGGTGCATCTGTAACAGAAGTTAGAGAAACTCGAAATATTTGGCATAGATTGTAACTCGCTTAGTGAAACGGAGATGCGTACCCTGTCTTTTTGCTGGTCAACTGCAGGATGGAACAAACACCTTTGTCCACGAAAACATAGTATTCTGCTTACTTGCGCTTTGCTATTGACAAACTGCCCTTTTACGCCGCTATTCGCGTTCGAATTGTCTAACCCGCCACCACACGCTTTCGGTGCGAAAGTTCGCTATCTAAAGCCTACCATCAGCGCTTCTTACCCTCTCCAACATACGCTTGTACTGCTTCGTACGCTGAAGCACTCACAGTTTAACGATGGTGAAGCCTTTTGCCAGAACTCACATTCTATGTCGCAATAACATTCGGAACCGCTATCTGCCGTAAAAACACGCTGTATCATCAACAAATTACAGCTTCAAAATGTAAAACCTTCGGCCTCGCGATTGCCGATATCTAACGATATCTGGGGAAACGGCTAACTCAAATCAAATGGGGAGTGCCGGTAAAGGCTACGCATATAAACCGTAAACTGGAGACGAGTAAACTTCCTATGTGGGCACACGGATTAGCCACATGGCCCAGGCAAGCGTAGCCGGTTCGACTCCCTTAAGTATGAAAAGCTTACGTTGCTAGCGTTGCGAAGGACTACGTTTTTTCTTGACTGGCTACCTGATTAATGCAGCATAGGGCCCGTTCGTACTTTGCGAGTGAGGAGATTCGGCGATTCGAGAAATCGCGCGGCGAGGAAAGTATAGGTACCGCTTTGACGACTGGGGAGGATCGGCGATCCGGCATCTTGAGTGACTCGGCGTTACGGCGATTTGGCGCTAAACGAGTGGATGGGTATCGATCGGCACCGGTCGCTAGATTCGGCGATCTCATCCACTCCTTTGGCGCGAAACGCTGATTCGCCTAAACGGTGAATTGCCAATACTCCTCAATCGATACCTATAGTATGGTCGTCGCGCAGTCTCGAGTTGCCGAACCTCCTCAGTTGCAAAGTTTGAACTTGGTCTAAAAATTTTGTAACAGCCTCTTACATAGCTTTTATTCAGGCTTCGATGAGTACATGAACGTTGTTCTGGATGAAGCTGAGGAGCTGAACGTGAAGACGCAAAGTCGCAACAAACTTGGACGTATCTTGCTCAAAGGCGACAATATCACTATGATTCATGCTGTTACTGTTTAGGCGTTATGTACTTGCCTGGTTGATTGGTGTGCTCGTTACCTACAAGTAATTTTGTGTTATTTTCGGATCTCGTTTCCGTGTTTACATTTTGGTTTCTTGATTATGATTGTTAAAGTTGTAACGCTGGAATGAATTGTTAGAGAGCTGCTCTGTGTGTATCATTCAAATGGTGAGTACCAAGTCAGCCGCCGTGCCTACACACATTATTCTTTTTTGTTAAAAAATGATTTTACCAGTCAAATAGGGATGCTCCTTGTCGTGACACTACTCGCTCTCTCCTACAATGTATTGAGCATTCTGAATACTGGAGTACAACTTCGGATAGAGGAGTTTTTTGATACTCCCGGACACACCAACAATTGGGCTGTGAGTACTAGATCTAGAACCGTAAGTAGTAGTGCATCACCTGCCAGAGTTTATAAACATTAAGGTTCTCGTGTGTACCTCTCGGTTTTGGTTCAACTATCGCCATGTTTCCAATGTATTAGCTCTTTACCACACCGTCAAACGGTTGGGTATACCAGAAGGTGAATCTATACTGCGGTTTCCGTCTTTTATGAGTAATAGCATCTTCTAAATTAGGGCAATTCAACTATTACTACCTCAGTCTCCCGAATTCAGGCCAGCTTTTCACCAGCTTTTTTTGCGAAGGCCATATTTGGCCGAATATTCGTTTCCGAGGGTAGCTTGACCTGAATACGAATATCACATTCACTTGGTCTGAAACTGCTTGGCTCCGTACCACAGGCACCAGCGCCGAAATACCCTGAATCACCAGAATCGCTAAAAACTTTGTCTCCTAGGTGTAGTTTGGATGCTCCCGTACATGAATATCACATCTGATCGGTGCGAAAACGCCTGACACCTGCGCCAAAAACGCTAGCGCCAAAATATCCCAATTCACATTTGCCGAAAACTTGAATAGGGAGGGGGGGGGTAATTCGACATCTTGATTACGAGTATGGCATTCACTCTTGGCGCCGGCGCTAATGGATCATCTGCGATCTCTGTTAAGGCATTGTTCACAGTCTGCGGTCCAGCGTTTCTCTGGAACGCGGCGGTTCGGCGAAAAGCTTTCGATACGTATCGACTGGCGGTTGGGCGAAAGGGTTTTGATACGAATCGACGGGCGTTTCGCCAAACCGCGACGTTTTTCGCCTTCGACGAAACGCTAGCTCGATCGCCGTGGCGTTTTTCGCCAGCGAAATCGATACACATCTATTGCTTTTCGCCCAACCGCCGAACCGCGGCGGTTCGGCGAAACTAGCGGTTGGCGATTCTCCGATCGATGACTATTTTTTGCTTTTCTCCCAACCGCCGTTTCGTCAGGGTCGCAGACTGTGAACAATGCATAAAGCTTGTTATGAAATAACCCTATCAAAGCGTGTGACGCCAGTGTCGCCTAATGGCCCCACTGCAAAAATGAATGTCATGTATACGATCAGGGCAGCGAATTACAATGTAGAGCAATGTATACACTTTTTCGAGTTTTTGGGGTAGTAATAGTTGAATAGCAACTAAATTAGACATGAGGTGGCGGCCTGTTTTGAAATGTTGCTTTCAGTAATATCATCCTGATGCTAGCCGAAGATGTTCCTTGCAACCCGAGGAATCCCCGTCCAGGTGAATCGACTTTACTCTTTTTTTCTCATGCCTCAAAACATTATATTCTTCTTATTCCAGCGAGTGTGGTTTTTTTTGATGACTGTTTATAGTTGTCTTTAGCGGAATCGAGAAATATCTTTAAACAGTTTATTGTGAATGGAAAACCAAGACTCGATAGATTTTGAACATGGTGAAGTATGAATGCTTGATTGTTAGCATCACATTGGCCCCGCTGATTTTACCCGTCAATTCGTTTTCGTCGACTTTCCACGTGAATTGTGTTTTTCCAACGTTGAATCAACTGATGATCATGGTATAAGTGTCGCTCGGTGCGCGATTGTTCACCACCCGTCTTTTGAGTGGGGTTGTAGTCGACTTGCTCCGTCGTGTACATATCGACTTCTGCGACATTGCACTCTGAATATTATATTATATCTACTAAGTTCTCTGCCTTTTGGATGGGAAGGCGAGATAGCGTCGCATGGGAACGACCGCATAGTGTTCAAATCAGCAGGTCTTGCAGGGAGCTACAGTCATGACCTCTGCAATCGATAGGGCGTGTGACGGGGGCGTGGCTAGGAGCGCAGCCATGACAGAGTTCCGCCAATTGTAGCAGGCTCAGGAAGGCATCCTGGTGTCAGAGCGGCGTTTTTCCGCCAGTGATGGTATCCTGAGTCCGCTGGATGATTTGGTGGGGATCTGCCTCGGCTGCGCTCCTAGCCACGCCCGTCACACGCGCTATCGTTGTAAGGGGTCAGTTCTATAAATATTAGACATGCACACTTATTGACGTTCTTTAACGGCTATGAACCACGAAAAACCTAGCGACGCATGCGCACTTCTTTCATATAATGAGATTCTGTTCAAAGTAGAAACATCCGTATTACACCATTATCGATCGCTTTTCTCCACTGTTGTTAAAATAATTGGATGCGGTTTCGGAGCCGTCCAGTAAATGACATTCTAAAGTGGGATTGTTCAATAAGAATTGTGTCGTGAACATGAGGTAATCTGGGGACAGACTTACCTCTAGCCAGGCACTTTCTATGTATAGAAGACTCGTGAATCCCTTTTCCTTACCACGCGTATGTGCATATGTGCATTTAACAAGTTTGAAACCCTCATTAATTTCTCGGGTATTAACTTAATTTCTAGGAAGGTATCAAGTGTCTGCAGGGATTCTATAAGCCACTGGGCGAATGGTTTGGTTTATTTTTATGTATTGATTATGATTTTGCTAGGTGGGAGAGGAAACTGGTTCAAGCCGCCGTCAGAAGTTACCCAATGCCCCTCCCCACCCATCAGTCATTTACCCTGCTCTTGACCCACAACACACTGTGTTGTATTATCCCTACTTTAAGGGTGTTATGCAACACCACGAATATGTGTCTTCCTGGAAAAAGAGGTTTTTTTCGGGAGCGTTCCCTGAAAAAAAAAAACTCAATTTCTCGCTTACCTTGAGAGTTGCAAGTTTTGGTATACGGTACTCGATAGCAACATGTTTTCCAAATGCTATTGTGAATGTGACTGTTTCCCAAAGTGGTCGAAGTTTCTCGGCTTGTAGTGGTCCCAGAGGCGCAAGCATCAAATGGGCGCATCCAAGTCTTCGTGAGATGTGCTCTTTCTGAATATTTCGCTTTCACTGGTACTCACCACGTAATTTTTCACATTACTGAATCATTTTAATTGAACTTATCGCACAGTAATTAACCCAAATTATCTTTGGGCTTGCGGTTTTCCCTTTTCATAGAGACGGACAAAAAAATCGTACTTTGTCGCGCCGTCACCGTCGTGCGGCGATTTGCGACGAGAAGCGGAATTCTTCCGGATTCTGGCGGAGAAGAGATCCCATTAGGGGCAATATCGAGTTTCCCATCCCTTTGACACTCATATGCGAGCGGCCAGGCAGGACAATCTCGTCCGTAGGGCGCGGTCTCGCTCGCCCCACCCACCAGCGCGGCACATTACGATTGTTTCGTTACCCCCTTTTTTTCTTGCTCCCAAGATGAGAAGTTTTCCTTGGTTCACATTCGTCCCTTCTCACCTACCAGCACTGTCTTTCCTTCGCACGTACCAGCAGCGTCTAAAAAAGAGGAGAAATCGAGGGGAAGTTACTCATAAACTCGTAATGTTCCGTAGCTTTCAAACTAGTGCGCTATTGGTGTTTGCGTGAAGATTTAGGGTGTTAAGAAAATTGGAGGAAGAAGTATGACTATTTATGCTCTGGGAGACTAAGCAGCGGCAACTCTGGTCGTTTGCGTTTTGCTGAGCCTGAACTTTGATTTTTGGAAGAGACAAAGGCGCATGGCTTCCTTCTCCCCGACCCCGAACCACATTAACCCCAAATTTAGGTTTGGCTTTCTTAGGCAGCGTTCAGACTTCGCGACGGCAGCGCTTCGGTCGCGAACGCTGCCTTACGGGGTTCTCTGTGCGGAGCTCTCTGGATCGTCTACTTTTCCTCCGCTTTCCTGTTCAGCCAGCCATCTGGGAGTAAAAGTTCGTTTTCTTAGCTCAATACCTTGACTTTTTGCTTCGGTGGAAGGCAGAACGCGATCACGTTCAACACCGGCGCGTTGATGATGTGCTGATGTGCGGCGACGTTTGCGACATGGGGTTGCATGACGAAAGTACAGAGCAGAGGCATCTCAGCGGATGGTGCCAGTCTGTATCGTGCCGATTGACGCTGAAATTAATTTATAAGCCATTAATCATCCCATTTCACGGTACTCTGCCCATGAGCACCTCCAAAACTTTTTCGAATGAAAATCGGGGATTGATAGTGGCGCCAACTTAGCAAGTAGAGGGAAGGGGGGCATACTGCAACACGACTGTGTTTGTTGTGCGAGAGTACCTACTGGACGTACTAATCTTACACGTTTCGGAAATTATCGTGCCTCTTGCCCTTGAGTAAGTGATCCGCTGACTTTTTGATCGTCAAAACCTATACTCATTGATTTGATGCCAAACTGTTATGTCGAGTCAACTAGCTATGAATACTAGCTGGGTTAGGGCGGATACATGCTCACCTAGATGTTATCTGGATTCTATAGCGCTACTTGTCCAAAGCGTGATGAGGTATGCTACGGGTAAACTGACGGGTGGTTGCGCTCGCCAGGTATGGCCTTGAAGCGTGTACAGTTATAATCCTTGCGAGCGATAGGGGTGTGATGCGGCATGGCTGACCAGCTGGGAGCGCATTTTACAACAATGTTGGCCATCGGAGTGCTCGCACTGATATCATGCAGGTGGGAAATCTTGACCTATGAATCGCGCTCCGAGACCAATGTCCTCTCACGAGTAACTACGCGATTTGCTGAGGTTCATACTATACGTACGAGAAGACGAGCATAAGTGTAGGAAAGGACATAGGGGGTACGTATGGCTGCCGGCGGTAATTATCTCGCTGTGTCATGGGTTAATTATTTCTTTTCTTTCTAGGAGTAAATCGTTATGAATTTCTGTCTTACCGTCTCTGCTTTCCACACTTGTACCTCTTCTAGGGGTGTAGACAGTCGCGAGCCAGAAATATGAGCAACTACAGCACTTTGCAGGGGATTGACTCGAAGTAGAAGAGGACTCTGCACCGGGGCAAGCTGATAATTTGGCACCACTAAATGTCATGATGTACGAAGCCTTTTTCGAACGGAAGAACTCGCCATTTTAGGAGCTTGCCGTGGAGTTGTCTCCAGGCGACCAGTGCGCACTTCTTTCCTTTTCTCAGTGGTAGCGATTGGAGCGTTGCTTTCCGGCTCAGAGAAAGTGATAGTGTTGTGATGGGTGGAGTGGTGTGGTGGTGGGCTCCGGCTGGTACTGGCGACTGGCTAACGTCGGATGTGGAACGCGACATACTGCTTGAGCTAGCGGCTGGTCGTTACCCCTGCGACGTCAATCAGTTCCTGGTACCAGGAGGGCGGGCTGAAATCATATGGTGCTTTGGGTGGATAGTAATTTCGAATTGATATAGTGGGCAAATGTGGGAAGACTTTCATTATCTAATCAGCGGCACAGGCGAACTTTTCGAAGTAAGGTTCAATACATTCAAATGATGGGGTAAGGGAGTCTGCAGAGTTCGATAAATATCTGTCATCTGTGAGGACACTGAGCGTTTCATACTTTGGCGGTAGAGTCCACCAGTGCCAAGCAGCGCCACTCCAGAGGTATCCGAGCAATGCCGGTAGTCTTTCAGCGAATAGGAAAGTTTAGATATCGATACAGGTCTATCAGCGGTCCGGCCAGCATTTACCGACAATCGAAGCAGAATGTGCCTACTAGGCCCTCTATTGATCGGCCATACTCTGCACCACCGGACTCCGGAGCTGCTGACGCCTGTAATGTGACAAGCGCTTGGTGATGTTAGATCGATACCTAAGGTGTCGCGCTAGCGTTCCGCTTTTACGAGACGCTGGTGGAGCTGACAGATGCTAGATCGACAACTATCTTCCCTCAGCGCTGACGCTTGCGGACGCTCTGAACGCTGGTGGGTTGCCGCTCGCAAGGTAATGCGCACCCTAAAACATCGGGACAACCACCAAAAAACTGACCATAAAAAGCCCCCCGAAATTATAATACTAGCTCTCCAGCATTCATTCTCCGGTTGGAAAACTTAATGATGTGCTCTAGACGCGGGATTAATTAGGGACCTTCAGAGAGCTGGTCAAATGAAAAGCTGGGGTTCATATACATATCAACCGGTCTTAAAGACCTTTTCATTTGGAATGGACTCGCATAGCTTCGGCTGGTTGGAGAGCCTTCTGAAGGTATTTCGCCCTCGTTGTGATCGTCTAAACGCGATTTGGGCGTAAAATGGGTTCAGTTTGATGTTCAGCCACTTACAATTGACTTTCAGTAGTAGCGATGCTAGTGCCTGTGGTCGTTGTGCCAATGCTTGCAATGTGTTGTGGGGTAGTTTGGTTAGTCTCGATAGTACTGACATATTCCGAGTCCGATTCCCACTCTGAAAAATTTTAACGGCGTTCTATTTGCTGGGATTTGAAAGAGTCCAAGCGCATCGTTGAGAGGGAGGCATTCCCCAAAAAAAAAAAAACCCCTTTTATTTTTTCGAGGGAGACTTAGGCCACCGATGATGGTAAACTGTTTTTGCGCAAAGGAATCGCTTTCATTCACAGACTTCTTCCTTCTAGGCAAAAGAATAGATTCATCTTCACCTCTCGAGATCAGGACTGAACTGTTTCCATATGACTGCTGTTTGCCCAGGATGACATTCAATGTGCCCCCCCTCTTAGCCAGCTGGACTCCTGATTTTCAAAGTCTTCGTAACATTCGTCGTCGATTGACTTTGCGGTTCTTGAGCCCGCATTACTACCTGAAACCATATTCTTTAGTTTTCTTCTGAGCCTTTCGGAAGCCGCTTTTTCGAAAGTAACGGCATTACATACCTCTTCTGCAACGTTTTTGCCACTTCCTGTGGAGACATTGCTACTAGATGTAGGTGGTTGCAGCTGCTTTACTACCATGGTGAGGTCACGACCGTTCTGTCTTGCACATAAAATAGCATTGAAAGGTGCCCCCTATGTGAACTGCTGGAATGATATCCGCAACACACCATTATAATGTATTGCTGCAATTTACTATCCTACTATATATAATCCGCTAAGTATGTCTGTAAGTGTGTGTGTGTGTGTGTGTGTGTTTGTGTGTGCGTCTGTCTGTCTGTCACGAAATTCATAGCGAGCGTCGCAGAAAAGATAGGACGACAGTTCCAAGAAGTGATATACGTGGCAGGACGGGAACACTTTTGGTGGGTGATAGAATGTGATAGCACCTGATAAGATTCGATAAGGGGCCTTAGAAAGGGAGGGTGACCGAGCCCATAGTGCGGGACACAGTAACAGTGGGACATTGGTTCCAAGGTATGATATAGGACGTGGGACAGGAACATTATTGATGGGTGACAGGAATGACGCGCTGATAAGATTCGATAAGGGGCCTTAGAAGGGAGGGTGACCGAGCCCATAGTGCGGGACACAGTAACAGTGGGACATTGGTTCCAAGGTATGATATAGGACGTGAGACAGGAAAATTATTGATGGGTGACAGGGAATGATAGCAGCTGATAGGATTTGATAAGGGGAGTTAGAATGCTAAGGTCACCATACTTATAACGCGCACAGGGGCCAGCAGCATCAGCTAGGCATTAATTTCAGAAAATGATATAGAGTTGGAGATGGGGACACGGCACGTGAGGTGATAACAGCAGCTGATAGGGGCTGATAAGGAACGTTGCCAATGCTGTTCAGTCAAATTGCTGGAGCCTTTACACTACCAAATTATAGAGTTTCAGTGATAGGGACATTGATGACGGGTGACAGGATCTTATCAATCGATAAGAAACGATAAGGGGTCATTATCATTACCTCTCTTATCACTATACCCCAAGTACCAAAGGCTCAGTGTGCATACTTTTCCTTCAGCCATCACTTCCCTGATAGCCTTAGAAATGAATCTTCTACTACTAGTAATGTCGATGTTCAGACGAGCGGGGAGCGGGGGGCGGGGGGGGGGGGGGGGTATGTAGTTTGCCTGAAAAACAGGAATCTCAGACCAATAAATTCGAGGGAGAAACCGAAACACTTCAACGAGCGGATCGCATGCTAATTGAAAAGGAAAAGGAAAGCGTTCGTCGGTAGGCATTCCGGTGCAAGTAATGGAAACGAATGCTATTTCACTGAGCATTCAGCATTCATATTGCGGCTGAAGCTGATTGGCCGGCCTACATTTTGTATCTATCTACAGATTATGTATTCTAATGGCGTCGTGGTGCGGACTACACCGCCGCTGTAAATAGAAGCGCGTGCTGAGTTGTGCGGGATCGTAAGCCTTGCTCTGTCTGTTACGATTCGATCACTACAGCGCCTTATGAGCAGCCCGCTACCGAAAAAATTTCGTTAAAATTATGGACCCGCCTGGCGAAGCCAGGCCAGCTCGGCGAAGCCGAGCTCAAGAGAAGGAGGAGAGCACGGCGTGAGCCGTGCGATCCGACTGGTTTATACTTGTATTGCCTGAAAAAACCGATAAATGCCATTTAAAAAGCATTTCCAGTGACCAAACAGCTTCTTATCCGAGAGCGTGATAGGAGTGTGGGCTTGCTATCCCCAACTGGACGAGACGGCGTTTACGCTCAAAGTGCAGATACCGCGGTTTTTGCTAATTAATGCACATCTTTCCTGTCGCAGCCTAGAGTTCGTGTATAGACGGGGAATGCCCTGCGAAAATGCACCTGTGATGTTTAGATGGAAAAGTGAGGCCACGCCCCGCCCGTCTTCGGGATATGGGGCATAAGCACTGATATAATTAGCACACAACTGTCGTTCCTTGATGAATTACCCACTGAGCTACTACCATCATAAGAGTAGTGCGGATCTCGGGAAATGGTAAACTATGAAAATGTGAGTAAGCAAAGTGTTTCCAACTTGCTCCGTTTTCTCCCCCCATGAGCGCATGCCGTGGGTGTGCAAGACGTTATTGCCAAAGGAGGTAATCCATAAGAAGTGGTCAACAGAATGGGACCATTGAAAGTAGATGCCCAATATTCGGCTCGGCTAAAATTTTTGGCCGGTCAACTTGTGAAGTGTGCGTTTTGTGTTACCCCTGAAGAGGATAGTGTCCTGCAAAAGGTAAACAGTGGACGCAAGTGATGAGCCTTTCTTGCCAGCAGACTATCGCTTTGCCTCGTTTTGGGTAACACAGTTCCATTCGCTGCGTGCTGCGGCGCTGACTCTGGCCTCTCCTCCCTTGGCCGGCGGCCGGGATCCGCAGCAAACAGGACTGTACTACGCGCCCGTCTACTGAGTCCGAATCAGGGCACGTTTTTCCTATGAAATCTCCACCGGGGGTCGTGTGTTGATCTCCGGGGAGAGGATCGTGTTTAGTCTAGAATTTTTCCGTTAGTTTCTCTTTTCTTGTTTCACGAGCGCTATTCACATTTCATTCTAAGGTAGGTCGAATGTTGTTGCGAAACTTCCGCGTTACCAGACAGGAACGTGCCCTGGTCCGGTGCACGATGTCTCGTGGTACAAATTAAATGAATGGCTGAGCCACGCAAGCTGTCATGTGTCTCCGACAGGGCTGTCTTGTGCTGGGGGTGGATGCGATTGATGAGTGCCGTAGTTTCAAGGGTCTTTTTTTTATTCAGAAGCTTGCTTTATAGTTAAGAAGAGAGCTTTTTTCTCCAGAAATCTTTGCTATACTGAATAACTGAATGTTTTGGCCTGTTCTAGAGTAAAATTCCTAAACGATGACACATGAAACGACAAGCTTGCGTTCAGAATTCGCGATCGCGCGTGTGTCGACGCTACTGGCAATGTCAACAGCGCTCGCACTCCCTATAGACGCGACGCCGCAGTAAGAGGGGATTGATCAGGCCGCACTAGTTGATCAGTGCCGGTGTGATACCAAGTACTTTGTGTGGAGCAGACTTCCACCATGCTCATCTCTCATATAGTAACAACAGGACAGCATTTGATTCCTGACGGCGGGGGCTGCGGTTTTCTATTCTCTGAATGTTGTTGGCAATTGATAGTCGCGTTGCGCGCGTCGTCGACGCAGGTTGACGCTGCCAAAAGCTAGACTGATTTGCTGCGACGTGGTATATTTAATGTTTTCAGTACGGTGTACGCCTCGTGCGGACAAACCTCTATCGCATAGACGTCGAGTGGTTAATCGAGAGAGGAGTGTTAACGCCCCTGTAGAAATTTCATTCGCCTTCTCACTGGACGTCACCATCCTGCCACTCCGCGATCAAAGCGATTGCTCACCGATCATCAGAGCAATGTGTTGGTCAGTACTTCCTGTCTTTGTTATCGCATGGTTAGAAGAACAAGCGCTTGCGCAGATGTGCATTTAAAGGCAGTTGGCACGATAAATCCCAAGACGACTAGGATCAATACTTCCTGGCATGATAACGAATTCCGCGACCCTGGGCAGGCGCTGCATAGTGGTTTCTCCAAGGAAGGTGTCCTTATAAGGGCCCTATCAAGCCACAACATTACGTCCCAAACGCCCAGCCAACGCCGCCTTCCACAAAATAGACGACGCGTTCTTCGACCTCGTACTCATTCTTTGCTAGCAAATTATGAAGCGAAGGGAAATTGGTATGAAGCGGCCGTGATGCTGCATGCATATGGGTACACATATGCAGCCGTATCTTCGGTAGCGGTGATTGGTAAGATGCCTACGGGAAACTCGTCCGAAATCGATTTACAAGTCACTGAGAACGAAGGCTTTTTCTTCGCAGGATTTTGACCGTTTCACTCCGTTCTTTCGCCATTTCCCACTATACAGCGCCCTACTAGCATTTAAGGCTAAGTAGGAAACCATCGTGCAACTGCCTTTAATGGGTCGGTGAACGAACTACTAGAGCATTACTGTAAAGTTGTAAATGGATCAGTCCAACATTATCTGTTAAGAGTGTGGATCCACGCCGGGGGGCACGTTTCATAGTGAATGGAATCTTTAGCAACTGGTTTACGCCATGATTAAGCGAGTCATGGTTGAGAACGTGGTGGTCTACTTACGAGATTCTAGAAACACATGTTAATTTTCAGTATTTATTGAGCAAGGGTAAAAAGCTCAACCGCGGCAAACAGCATACCTGGCAACCTTTGAGAGTACCACGAATTTTTACTCGGCTTGTTTCAGCTTCAGCCGGTGTGCAGGCCTGCCACGACGACACTGTACACAACTTCCTGATCCTTAAAGAGATTAATGAGTCGCATACTGGGCACTGGCGTAGCTTCTTTACAGCTCAAAAATACATGGGAATGGAGCGGGTGGTAGTGTTACCCAGATCTAGTACAACATCGTTATGGTTCGGTTTGGGTTAGTACGTACATTTCTGGGCGCGGAAATAAGACCTGACGCGTCTAGCCACTGCTATACATTTTCTAATTTAGCCATCAAACTCAGGAATGGAATTCTGTGGCTCATTTATTATTATGTAACCTTTTGTACACTGCATAGCCAAATTCGGGGCCAGGAAAAGTGCGCCCTGATGTAACACAGGTACATCCAGTAGCTCCTATTAGAGACTATGTCTTTGGGCATGATGTTATAGTCGTTTAGGCTGCGTTTATACTTTGCGGCAGCGTAGCGTAGCGCTTCCAGCGTACGCCAGCGGCAATGCCGAAGAGAGGATGCATATCGATCTAGCTTCACCAGCGTCACCAGCGGCACGCTGGCGTACGCTAGCGTGCGCTAGCGGCACGCTAGCGTACGCCAGCGGCACGCTAGCGCACGCTGGCGTAGCGAGGGCACGGGAAGCATAGCTATCGATCTAGCTTCACCAGCGTTTCTCGAGCGTTTCTCCAGCGGCACCAGCGTTTTGCTAGCGCTTGCAGCGGCAGGGAGTAGAGACTATGTGGCCGTGAGAGACGCGGAATCGACGTGTATTGTAGAGACCATGTGGCCGTCGGAGACGCAGAAGCGATGTGCATTGTAGAGACTAAGGGCGAGTGAGAGACGCGCAATCGATGTGTTTTGTACCCCAGCTCGCCATAGTCTCTACTCCCTGCAGCTCAAGCGTAGTAAAACGCTGTGTGAAACGCCAGGGTGCCGACTGGTGCGCAGAATCGATATGCATCCTCTCTCGGCACTGCCGCTGCGCACGCTGGAAACGTGGACCGACCGTGAACGAGAACTTTCGCATGCACGTGGCGTGCCAAAAGCTCGCATAAGTATAACGCAGCCTTAGGATAAATCCTCTTTTTGCATTTTCGCCGGCAGTTCCGAGTTGTGGTGAGGCCATAGAATGGTGCTCAAACAAGCTTTACAAACCGCCTTATGAAGAGCTCTGACCTCCTGTGTCCTGAATGACCCACTCCCACCATTTTGCGTTGTCGCAACACTGACTGGTCTCACCATCCCCTCTTATTGAGAATGGAATAAACAAGGAACTAGCAAAGTGCAAAAAAGCCACTCCAAGCTCAACAGCTCAACAGCTTTTTTCTTTTGCAGCTTCATCTTTTACAAGTGCAAGTGCCCTCTGGAAAAAGAGTGCGATTGACAGCTCACAAGTGCAGATATCAAAGTCGTTCGAAGTTCATAGAAATCAACCACCAGAGTGTAAAGAAACTATGATTGAGTGATGATGAAATAACTGTGACAGACTGCTTGCAAAAGAGAAAAGAAGAAGATAAACACCTCATTGCGCTTTTTAAAGGCACAAGACACGATAATTTAGTACTCGGTGTAATATGGTAGCATGTGTGCTATATAGTGGAAAACGGCGAAAAAGCGAAGTGGTACGGTCAGAAAGCTGCAAAAAAGCCTTTGTTCAACATGACTCAGACAGCATTTTCGGACGGTTTCGTGCTCAATACCGCTGCGGTTGATACGGCTGCATATGTGTAGCTCTATATCCACACCGCAGGCTTTCATACCCCCGTCCCTTCATTCATACGGCACTTTCGTATGTTTGCACGTTGATAGGGCGCTTTAAGGGTATATTCCTTAGAAAGGGCGCCACGCAGCGCCTCAGGGGCGTCGAATTCTGTCTGCTAGGCTTAATGAAGCTACACATCTTGGGGATTTATCGTGCCATTTTTAACTTGGGAGTGCAAATTCGAGATTAGCACTACGGCTGGTGGCCTATACTGTTGCCGTCGAATATACTCACCGTAACGTGTTCGCGTGCATGACTTTTTTCTCCTCAACCACTTAGGTTTACAGTAGACTGCAACATCTTTGAGTGCGGTGGGCAATTCTAGTAACGCATGTCCACTGAATGATCGCCCGCTTACTAGCCTAGCTATGCCGGCTTCCATGAGCTAGTCCCTATTAGTGACTACAACGGGTGAGCGCGACCAGTTTCCTTCCCAGTGAAACTTTCATTGAGCTATATTGTTGTTTTTGGTGAGCTGGACGTTTCTTCGTGCAATGTAAAATGGGAGATGATGTTAGAATGACTCTCTCCAGTATTCTTTATGCATGTAAAAGATCTGTTTTGCCAAAAGTCCAGTGTAATAAATGTTGTGCATACATGGAATCACCTTGGCTGGAAATTTTCTTTAAGAAAAACCGGCTCCTCCTGGACCAGTATGCATGGCTAGCATTTTTTAATGAGTATCAAGTATTGTGCTTATCAGCAATTTCGGACTCCTTGCAATCACACGTCGCATACCTGACCCTTTGTAATCCTTTGTGTATGTGGTGTTTGATATAGTACTGGAGGCTTTGCTTAATTTACGACCATCATTTGCAATGTCTGCCGCTAAAAAACGGGCAATATGTAATTCTGGTCGCATTCCACTAGAAGTACCGGACCCGATTGAAAAAACGAGTACAAAATTTCAACTGAAAGGAGAGACCGAGCTCGAAAGAGGTCTTGCACTCGAATGACCGTAGATGGATTGTGATAAATGTGGAGATTTCGCTGTTATCAAACAATGTGAGGGTGAACCTTCTAGGGTGAGGGGGAACAGTTTGTTTTCAAGATCCAGCGGAAACTTGCCAGCAGAGGTTCCTATAAAAGCAAGTAGTAAAGTACAGAAGATCTTATAATTCATGAGGCTCACGGATAGTTCGATTCTGTCTGAGAAGCTCTGCGTTCAACTGTTCTTGTTAAGATTTACCTCACTGGCCATGGCGGTGACAGTTTCCTCAAATTTCAAGATGCTGAAGAACTGACAAACGTCGATTTAGCGTATGCCATTCAGACGATGTATGAAGATAACCGGTATGTATTGCTTCACTTATCCAGTTGATCTTGAAAAAGTATATTTGTTATTGCGGACTCAGTGATGCGTATGAATGGAAAAACCGCCTGACAGCATTTCTATCCGGGTCCGTCCACGACCCATTATGGTTGTCTGTCACGATCTATCCATGCAGCATCACGACCCTCATACCAATCTTTCCTCCATAATTGCTTAGTAAATGGAATCGCCACAACGGGCTATTGTGGGCGCGGCGCTACTTGCGGCTTTGATTGAATGCTGTGGCTTGATAGGGCTAGGGCACCTCCCTTGGAAAAGGCATTATGCAGCGCCTGCTCAGGGTCGCGGAATTCCGTCCTGCCAGGCGTATTAATCCTTACTCGTCTTGGGGATTTATCGTGCCAACTGCCTTTAAGGTGGGCGAGCTCGTTGTGCAAGTGTGGGACGTATTGTTACCTTAGCGCTTTGTGCAGCACAACTCGAGTGAGGACGGCGTTCTTGAATTCATCAACAAACAGCAGATCGATAGATTCTCAAAACACTTTGAGTAATTGAGCTCAGCAAGGAATGATGGCTCATTACTTAGAACCAGTATGATCCAGCAGTATGGTGCCTTTATGAGCATTAGGTGAGCAGTGAAGTGCTATTCATTGACGAGGCTCTTTGGGATTTTCTGCACCCTGTACAGGTTTTGAAAGTCTTTCTGGTGTGGTATGACTAGTATTGTTCTTTCGGTCTTTTGACATGGTGCCAGTTCATGCCTCTGGAGTGATAAAGTTTAGCGCGTGCAGAGCTCTAAGGGATAAAAGGATAAAGTCCACCGTTGATCAATCCCTTTGTGGGATGCGGCACGCATTCTACTTCCATTCAGAATCGTAGTGGCTTATTGAATGCGATGTGGCCTATACAATGACTTGCGGTGGCCAGCCGATGTACAAGTCAGTGTTCTTATCCTCCCAGACGGTATTTGATTTCTTCTGCGAGACAGTCATTTTTGATTAATGCCTCCCAATTTAGGTACCATGAAATGTTCTTGATTGCGGACACTTGTCGCAGCGCCTCGATGTATGAATGGGTGTCGAGTCCTGGAGTACTTTCATCCAGTAGCAGTTTGACACATGAGGAGAGCTATTCGTATGATGTGGATGACGAAATCGGTGTTTATGTCATTGACAGGTAGAGTGCAACTTTTTGACCAAATTTTCCTTTTCCAAATCTTTGCAAGTCTGCGCACTTGTGACGGAGTAGGTTTCACACTCAGGTCCCAAGAATACAGAATGTAGTGGGAAGATGTCATTAGCGCGTGCGCTTATATTGAAGTCTAAAAGTATACCCACTCCCGGGGATCCTGGTCCATACCGTATATGAGGTAGCTGCTGCAGCGCGCCACTTTCTCCGGTCAGAAGTGCACGGGAAGGGAGCTAGAGGGTAGTGATGCACCTGTGCCGTCCTAACTTCGCCAGCGCTGCCGATTCCGCTAGCAAGCCTAACTGTAGCCAAACGCGCTGCTTTTTCTGCCCCCCCCCCCCTCCTTCTGGTTGTTTTTTACCTATGACTGCGCGTTGGTTGCGAGATTTTGGTATAGAAGCAGCGGTCACCGAGCACTTTAAGTTTAGCACCAACTAACAGCCCTCTATTCGAATGATCCTTGTTCAGTACAGGAGTGGACTTCCGCAACCGTGCGCGATATAGGCAACGGCACATGCCCTAGGGTAGCAGGTGTGACAAGACAATCACAATTCCCTGCGCTAGCGGGCGTCGCGTGCGACATTGCCCTCGCGAATGACTATGTTTCTGGGTCGTAGATGGCGGCAGTAGGCAGTATAATCACAATTAACTATAAATGTCTGCGATGCCATGGTCTACATGAAATCCGGTGCTCCAACCGACGGCCTAATGCAAACCAAGAAAGTTCCGCCCCCACAATCGCGCGCGACGGAGCTACCTACGATTGTCTTGGCCGTCTCCCCATGCACCGCTATAGTCTAGTGTTCCTAAAAGACGAGCGAACCATTTCAGATACACGCATTTCACCGTGGCATTCATGAATCGTGAAGTGAAAGCTTTGAATTCTACGGCAACCATGCAGGATTATCTCGACTCTTGCTCTCGCCGTCAGTGTCTATCAACTGTTGGTCAGTGCTTTTTCCCCCCCAGTTGTTATGACCGCTCCTTCAGAACCTGTTCCATGAGACCTCACGTGTGTTGAAATAACTGTTTTTAAGGAGTACGTAAGGATGTCTATCCAAAAGAGCCTTCTCGGGTTCGTGTGACTGACTTTTTTGGCTCATCACGAATTATTCGCCACCTTACCGAGGAGATCGAAATCGACGACGACTGGTTGAATATCGGCGAATAAGGGTATCTTAGATGTGACTGATGTTATACTTATCTCGTGATGTTACTGCGAATGCTCTCTGGTAACACCAGAACGGTGTCGACTCTGGGTAATCCATGACTCTTAAGGCTACTTCATTTTTCTTGTATTCGATTTGGTCGATAGGACTTGTTCCTGGCCGTTGATAATAATTTTCTAATATGCGAAAGTTTTTCCACTTGTCGACTTTTTCTAATTTTTCCCCTTCCTTGTAGGCTAGACACTGAGCACCTCCTGCCATCGGGAAGCTTTGTAAAAGACAACTCCTTCCCGCAAAATTTCGTCCTTCGGTACGATCTCCTTCTCAATCCTTCCGAATAACCTGCCACCGTCCTAAATTTCCCCCTAATTCCTGCCTTTTCACCCATAAAAACCGGAGAGCAATTTGCACAAACCAGATACCCCTTCCCTCCCTCTCAATTTGGTCACCAAATGCTCCCTGAGTGGGTGTCACCAACGTACGACTCACGTTGGCTGGACCTCCCACCTCCACCCTTAGTTGGTGCCGCTGGAAACCTATAAAACCGCCATTTCAGGAGGTTAGGGAATTTTGGAAGATGGTGTTTGGGTCGGGGGAAGAGGTCCTGTTAGATGAGGAAATCTACGTACTGACAATGCCATTTCTCTCACCACAATACTGTACTTGTGCTCTGCCAAGGAAGAAAGGAGCGTTCCAGGTATTTGTGCTTTCAATTTCCTGTGATTTTCAGATATTAGGAGAAAATGGATGCTTGATCGAATCGTTTTTTTGTGGTATTGTCATTGTTAGTCATTAGCTTATTGTGTGTTTAGCTTTCATGCATTGATTGTATCACTTTAAATTTGACGAGTAATGACTTTTTCATAGAAAAGGAAAAATTTGTTGGCCGCATATGCCGAGATAATCGTTCAAGTTTGAATGTAAACGTGTTAAAGAGTTGTGAATGATCTAATGTTTTTGTATTGTAACTGAATGCGTGAAGGTTCTATACGCAGAAAGGGTGTTCACCGAATGGTTCACTCCTGTGGTTCACAAAAAAAAAACGCAGGCAATCGTTTAGGCATCGCTTCGGCTTGTTAGTTCAATAACACCTACCTTAAAGACATGTCCATACGCGCTCGAGAGGCCTTCAAAATGACTTCGCGCCTTCTGGAACCCTCTGCGCCTTGATGAAGATGATCCCGCTTTTATCCATCAATGGCGCGCGATGAGGAAGTTATCGCAATTTCGACAAGGCTCGCTAGGCTCACGGAGACGGTAGGTGGACGAGGCGTCTGGTCCCGAACTGCATTACCTGTCCTTTAAGAGATCGCGCGTCCCTTTAAGCCCGCGGTCCCACTGGCATTTTGCCAAAGTTGGCTCATAGCTCAGCTAAAGGTCTTACTTCGGTCAGGCTTGTAAACATGTGTGAAAGTGCGGAACCATTAAAGGACGCAATTGCGGCTGCCGCATCGAATTCTGGCAGCCACGCCCGGCACACTCGTCCAGGCCCCGCCCCCACTGCTAAAGGTAGGGTTTGGGTTCAAGGTGTTCCCGAAGATTTTTCTGCTTCTTTTTCTACTGAGAAGCTAACTATGGAATACTGGTGCATGACAGAGTACAATTGCCCGCAATACTTGATCGCGATAATTGTCTTTAAAGCAAATTCCGCGATAAAATAAGGCTATGACCCCTCTCAAATGTGTCGGACGATCCGGAAGGCGATTTTTGAGGCTGCGCTACTTTCAAAATGTGAAAAACGGCAAGAACTCCGCTAGAAGCTGACTAATTAGGCCCATGGAGGGTTCCACACCCCCTTAGGCCCCATGACCGGACCCTCACCGGCTGCTAGCTACTAGCTAGTAGCCACTATGTTATCTTCTATAACATTTCGGACTGCTTTTTCTGCTGCTTTTCTCCGCTAATCAGATACTTAGCACTTTTTTGTTGCCTATCTTGAGCTAACTTCCGCAATTTCGCGGTGCGCGAACTGTGGGCCTTTGAAAGTAAAGGAAAGGAGAACACAGTTGTAGAAAAAGGGGTTTGAACTTTCCGAAAAGTGCTCAAATGTTCATAAAAGTTGCCAAATTTAGGATGAAATTCAGCGTTGGGGATACGTTAGGGATTTTGACCTTTGCATGCAAACTGTCCTGGTTTGAACCAAGATATTTTCCTTAAAACTCAACAATTCACAAATCTGAAACCAAGTGCCGAATGCTAGAAGATTTCCTCTTTTCAAAAACCACTTGAGCTGTTTGTGAAGTTTCCGGGATTCATGAGATAATTGCGTTGGGGATTTATTAGGGAGCACTCCGAGCTGCTCGAAAAATCCGTTTTCTGTGTACCGTTTCAAGCGAGCGTGTTCGGAATATCCAGGAATGCATCTAGAATGCATCCCTTCGTGGAATAGGAGCAAGCAGTAGGTGTTTTAGCGCCCATTAGCTTCATTTGTGGATGCGCCATGCTTAGGCTCCCACGCAGAGGTAGTGGGATGGTGCAAGTTCCACGCAATGCCTGTCTACGCGAGCAGATGTGTTTATAGGATTCAGGGAGGTCCATGGCGAACCTGTGCACTTGTTTACAGTGTTTTCCGTTGCGGATGATGGGGCGTGTCCGTGTCCGACGCCGCCAGATCTGTGCTCCGCCAATTGCTGACTCCGATAAAGGAGACCAACTGCTGGAAAACGTCTGATACGAACGATATGGTAGTCCTGTCGTTGTCAAAAAAACAGGTTGGCTCAGCGCCAAGCGCGATCGCGGACACGCCCCATCATCCGCAGCGAACCAGAGTATGAGTTGTACTGTTTAGTCACTTACGAGATGATGTCGACTTATTAATATTTCCAGTTATTTCGGATTAGTTTGATGAATGAAAGTTTTGTACTATTTTTTTACATATCCGAGTTCTCTACAAAGCAAAATTCGCTGCA